TAAGATCATATTAAAAAAAATCTTAAAAAATATAAAAGTACATATCTCCCCCTCAACTTTATAGTCCAAGAAACTAAGAAGGCTCCCTTCTGAGATGTTTGCCATATGACCATTCCTTTTGTGGGCTCAGCTGCCTCTTGTCTGACCTTTGTCTCGTTTGTGACTCTTCTGTTTCCCAAAGCCATTCTCACATACTGTTACATCCTATTGCATATTACATGTTTTGGGTGAAATATAGGTAGTCCTCAACTTATAACCACAATTGAACCCAAATTTTTTATTGCTAAGCGAGACAGTTGTTAAGTGAATTTTTTGCCTCATTTTATGACTTTTGTTGCCACAGTTGTTAAGTGAATCTGGTTTCCCCAATGATTTTGCTTGTCAGAAGGTTGCAAAAGATGATCACATGATCCCGGGACACTGCAACCTTCATAAATGTGAGTCACTTGACAAGTGTCTGAATATTGACCACATGATTACAGGGATGCTACAACAGTTGTAAATGTGAAGAAGAGTTATATTTTTTCAGTGCTGTTGTAATTTTGAACAGACACTAAATGACCTATTGTAAATTGAGGACTACCTGAAATGTCAACTTTTGGGTATTGCTTTTTTGGTGAAGTTTTGAGAAGGAATGCTAAATGCCTAATTCTGTCCTGAAACATGACTTCATTTTACAGACTTAAGGTTTCAACTAAAGATACATTTCTCCCTAAGCTGAGAGAGCAATGTTGTCCAGGTATGGAACATTTAATAAAATGGTGTTCCTTGATTTGTGAGATCATGCCTCTTTTATTGCCATATAACAGGAATCCCAAAGATTACTTAAATCAGCCTTCCCCAACCTAGTACTCTTGGTATGTGGTGAGATTTATCATGCTGGCTAGAAATTTTAAGAGTTTCCAACAGAAAGGATACTTGTTTGAGGAAGGTTGGTATATAGTAAATCAAAGTTCCCATGGCTTAGGTTTCCTGTGGATTTCTACTCCCAAATTTCTGAGCAATATTCAAACTGGCTGAGGAATTCTGGGAAGTTGATCCATACTCTTTGGCAAGATAGAGCAAGGCCATAATAAATTATCTGCTTATTTTGTTATTGAAATAGCATGATCTGAAACTATGTAAAATGAGCAGCATATATTAACAGCATGTAAATTATCTTCTTCCATGAGAATGGAGCAGGAAAGTAAGGAATTAAAAGCATATTTATAACCTGTTTCTATAGACTTTTGATGTAGCATTTTCACTGAATTCAGTGTGATTCCCGTCCATAGTATTTATTTATCCTCAGTCTCAATTACCCAATGCTATAGAAAAATGACATTCCCTATAAAATAGGGAATATTAATTTGCAAAATATTAATTTGCAAGACATTGAGACAGAAACATTGAATTAATCAATCTAGCAATTCCCACCACCACCACCATTTTTATTTCCAGACTGAACTTGTGGCCTTGTCTGAATTAGAAAAGATTGAACTGCCTCCCTTGATCTGAACGTCTGGGGCAGAGACAAAGAGAACAATAGGAGCACTCCCATGTTAGACAGTTGCTATGCATGGAATAGCCAGGCAAAGAAAGCCTTTAAAATTTGCCTAGCTGCTTTGTTTATCTATACTTTGCTGGAAAACCTTCATGCTCTAATTATTTCCAATTATGGTTCCTTTGGATGCTGGTATGCCATATAGATCCCCTATGGAGCGAGGGGGAGGTCCGTACACACACAAGCTGGAGGAGTGTCATGATGTCTCTGTATAGCAAGGTTGTGCAATCAGCATGCAAGCAGAAAGGGAAGAAGGATTAGCTGGCTTGTTAGAATAGCAAGTGGACAGATAGGACAGGATGTTCTCTAGGATTGGAAATCATAACCACTTTACTGTGACTTGGCTCTGCATTGCATAACACCCACCTCCGGGAACAGCATAATAAGATTGAATGTCATTATTGCTCTATTAATCCACTTACTGCTCATCAAATAAAGAACATTTTTATTTTGCTATATTAATAAACTGCTCCTATCAATTACTGTAAGCATCCAGGTAGCAAACAGCAAAGCAAAATGGACATAATAATAAATGAGAACATCAATGCAATACCATCCAGATGAATGGCTACAATTGAGCTGAATGAACATTGGAATACTATAGTTTTAACTGCCTTGCAGAATGAAAGGAGGAAACTCCCTCCAGGAGGAACTGGGTCAGAGCACAGGAGCTACAGTGAGTAAGGTCTGCTGCTCAGCCCACCCTCCATGCAGTTCTCGTGGGGAAAGAGTCTCCACAGGATGTGTCTAGCAGTTTAGACTCTGCAATAGAGGGAAATTAAGTTCTGGCATGATTACATCCTGTCCTATCTGTAATCCAGTGCTGTACCCTAATGGGCTTATTTACCTTTAAGAAGCAGATTTATGTCTACAGATAATAAGCTATCCTTTCTAATCTATTAACCAGCCCTGGATTTGGCCATGGGGAGGGGAGATCTTATTTAGGTTATAGCTAAATAGGTAAATCCCATGAGCCTTGGCTCTGTGATATTTCCTGACTTGAAGGGTATTCCAATGAAAACTGAAGTTTCAGGTCATTTTTTTTTCAGAATATCAATGCCAGAATTGAGCATTTGAAAGGACCATATGTCAGTCTTAGAAAATTCTGCTTGAACATGTTGAAGAATTAGACAAACCTTTTCAGTCCAGGCTAATGGCAATGTTGTTGCTTTTTTTTTAAAGGCTAAAATAAACTGAAAAATAGAGATTATTAGATTATTGCTTATGTTCAATCCATAGCTTCTTCAGGTATTACCAGGAAAGATTTCTTTTTGGAGAAATGATGCCAACCTATGCCATTAATAGTGAATGAGATGGACCAAAAGTCTGATTTTAAAGTTGTGCTTACCACACGTCCAACATAGATTTGCAAACGAGCAAAATAACCATGGCTTCTTCTGCCAATTCTTGATTTGTTTTCTCTTTCTTCTGCCAATATCTGTTAGAAATATGGAGAATGCAAAAGCCTTAACAGTATTTTGACTCAGAACTATAGTAATAAGCCGTTTTACAGGGAGTCAGGATTTGCAAACCAAATTGTAGATTGTAGCCCAAAAAATTCTTTCTTGGGATGGATTCATACATCAAATCGTCACTATGGCTTAGTATAAATGCATAAAAGCTTCCCAATATTTCTACCTTCTAAATAAAGTTCATATATGAAACCAATAAAAGAGACTAAAATGTGCATCTCTCTCTGTATGTATCTATATATCTCTATTTGTAACACCTTTCCAGGGGCCTATTTTATGAGAATTTGTGTTGAGATTTCAACTTGCTAATAAACTGAATATTATTAAAAATTGGCTTGATTTTGAACATTTGTAATATGGATATGGGGTCCCTTCAGCATTTTAGAAACCACCAGGGAGTTCCTATTATCTTTGATAATGTTGAAATATTAGTTGAATTGTACCTACACCTCATTAAATTACCTCGGTTTCTCCTACAGAGTCAAATCTGTTCCTGAGTTAAGGAGCTTTGAATGCCCTGCTGGAGGTGGGGGGGAGGGAGATAATTTATGAGCATTTAATTGAGTCTGACAATTGTCCTTGGAGGATAAATGGGACAGAGATGACATGGCATAGCTTTCTGTGCCTTCCCCCAAATGTGTTTTTCAAACCTATCTTATTTTGGTTGTGTTTTTCCATTCTTTCTTTTCCAGCTTGAGGCAAAGTGTAAGTATAATCCTGGATACCAATTTTATAGTATTTATAATATAAACATAGTATTGAATGCCAAGTAACAATAGTTGAACTGAATTAATATTCTACGTAGATGGCACTGCAGAGATGCAAACACAATATTGCAAGTTATGTAAAAGGCCTTCAGAATTTCTCATCTGCAAAATCTAAACGACCCATTTAGTGTGAATCATTCTGAGTTTAGTATTGCATCCATTGTATTTTTTCCAATGAAACATAATTGACTATGTTAACATAGCACACTAAGCCATAGCTTATGGTTTACAAATTACAGTGGCTGGGCTTATGTAGCATAGTGAACCATTAGGACTTAATGTGTGAATTGACCAATGTACCATTGTTCCATGCAACCACAGTGCTAAAACAAACTTTTTAACACTTTTTCAGAGCTTGGAACCCGTTAATTAAAATGATCAAGGGGCAAAGCTATAGTGATAGAAAATTGTCATGGATTTTTTTCTCCTTAGTTTCTTGTTGGACCCTATACTTTGTGGACCACAGTTTAGAAAAACAAATACTGAACTCCAGTGAGAATTAAACTTAGGCATTCTAAGAATTTCTATTTTTTTTCTTTAGTTTTTTTTAACAAATATTTACCTATTATGATATAGATATGAAATGTGCTAAGTGCTTACTGATATTCCAATTGATTAATTTACTATATACAATGCAGATGAATTCAAATTCTCTTATTACAATTTGAAATTTGCTTCGGTCAGGCTCCAAAAACTGAGTAATGCATGCATATTTCTAAGCAGTTTCCTTTATTGTTCCTTATTTATAGACATAAATCTTGCTGAACTAAAGCAACTACTTGTATCATTAAAGATACACTGATTTTTTTTAAAAAAAACTTTAAAAATAAAACAGAAAGCTTGCATACTGTGAAACTGAGGACTACTGTCCAACACCTTTAAAAATCTAATTTAAATTTACTTAGGAAATAAAAATGGTATGTGGTTGTAGTCCAGTGGTTTGTGTAGAAGTTGCCACTTCCTATCAACCTCCCTTACCAAGCAAAAATAACCGCAATATCATCACGGGAGGTCAAGAGAAGTCTACAAAGCAAGCTCACCAGTTTCCTTCTCAATAAATGGGGCTCCTCTGGTTGCCCATGCTCACCATGGCATCCATTTCTAAACGCTCAAGCTATCACGTGAAACATGCATAGCTGGCTCTCAATCTACATTCCAAAGTGCCTGTGCCTGTGACGTGTACCATGTTCAGTTCTCTTTTTCTTTGTTTCTCCATAGTAATGTGTTCTGAGCGAATTGAGAAGATCACCAAAACATACCATGATATAGATGCGGTCACCACCTTGCTGGAAGAGGTATCCTTCACCAATTGTTATTTCGGAATCTTAAGTTAGAACATTGTGCAGCATGGTAGAGTGTTACCAAGCTCATGGTGGTTTTGGGCTTTCCTAACCCTGATCCTTGTGGCTGTTAATTATGGCATAGGCAGGAAAAATTCCACAAGGAGGGTCTTGATTTAGGATGGATGTGGAAGGCGCAAAGAGGAGAAGAAATTGATTTAGGAGTGGCAAGCATCGAAAGACCTAAAATTGTTGAGAAAGTGATAATGGTAGAAACCAAAGCAGGTAGCATGTGTGATGAGATGGAAGCCTATCAGGTGAAACTCTGCTCTCCTGTCTTCCCTGTCCTCACAGAAGGAACATGATTTGGAGTTAGCAGCCCGCATTGGGCAATCGTTGCTCAAACAAAATCGGAGTTTGTCTGAACGCAATGAATTTTTGGATGAACAGCTAGAATTAGCAAAAGAAGAGGTAAGGAAGATGTCTTCGTAAGATAGATCTTGGGTTTGTTTTTTAAAAAGACATTTGGAGAATCAAGTCAGGAGTTATTTGAGGCTGATTCAGATTCTCAGATGTCCACAGTAGCTGAATGACGGTTTAAGGTTTTATAGCTCTCTGTCTTGTTGTTTATATCTCATTCCACTGTTTCTCCTAGAATCTGGGCAGCCTGTTGACTTGTCACTCTCACTATCTCCAATTATCTTTACAATAGCTTGTATATGATTTAAAGTGAGAAAGCAGCTGGCTAAAGTCACATGGTTGGTTTCACAGTCAATGAGGATTTGAATTTGGGTCTTCTAAGCCCCTAGTCCAGTGTTCAAAATTAGCCATTTCCAACCTGCTGCTCACCCAATGTATGGCTAGAAATTCTTAAAATTGGAGTTCCGCCACATTTGAGTTGCTCCACTTAAGGAAAGGTAGGATTATATGGTGTTGGATTGGCACTGGGAAGATCCAATCCATCCTCATCTGTGGAAGCTTCTCTCAGTCCAATCTGCCTTGCAGGTATTGTGGTATTGTGGGGAAAATGGGAAAAGGAGGGATGTGCTGTATCAATTTGTGTTCCTGAACAAAAGGTGGAATATAGATTTAATAAGTAAATGTATGCCATGTTTAGTAGTGCAAGATATGCATTCCCGAGTGTGCCAGAGTACAGATAGTCCTTGATTTACAACCATTCATTTACCGACCATTCAAAGTTTCAACAGCACTGAAAAAAGCTGACTTATGACCAGTCCTTGCACTTAGACTGTTGCAGCATCCCCATGGTCACATGATCAGAATTTGGGCACTTGGCAACTGGCATGCATTTGCAACAGCTGCAGCATCCTGTGGTCATCGATCTCTCTTTGCCATCTTCCCAACAGGCAAAGTCAACAGGAGAAACTGGATTCATTTAACAGATGCATGGTTCACTTAATTGCAGTGATTTGCTAAACCCTGGCAAAAAAAAGAGATTGTAAAACTGGAGACAATTCATTTAACAAATTCTGGTCCCAATTGTGGTCAAAAATATATATTTTTCCTGTGGTTAAACAAATAAAAATATTTATCTGAACTTTTTGTGCTTCTCACACCCAGATAGCTCAGCTGAGACATGAAATATCAATGCGGGATGATCTTCTCCGCATGTTTACCAACAGCACTGAAGACAGTGAGCCAACTTCCATCATTTCTACCCCGTGAGTATTTAGGTAGGGCTGTAAGGTGTCCCCTCTCTCAGACATATCCCTTGCAGAGACATATCAGTGGGAAATGGTGGGAGGAGGGGTGGGTGGGACATAAAGTAATTCTCCAGTTCATTTAGGATACCACAATTTGTACAAAATAATCAAATTTTGATTAAATGTGATATTTGAAATGAAGTGAGTGATATTTTTTCTGCGTGTAACCATGGAGAGAGTGGCAAGAAATGCCACATCAAGTACAAAGAAATAAAAATACTTGTCTTAATAGTAAGTTTATTGTTGTAACCATAGATCATGACATATAATGTACCACAAAACAGAATAAGCTAACTAATTAAAAGCAGTATTACAGTAGATGTAAAAAGGTTACAGCAATATAAAAGCAAAGCTACAACTAAGAACATAAGTATTTCTAAATGTAAATAACAGCAGAGCGAAAGTAGAACTTAATTGCTCACAGTTTCGGACACGTCTTGTGTATTATTGGAATGCTTTGTGTGGAAACCTGTATTACTGGAACGCTTTGTGTGTTTCACAATGCACAAGGCAGCTTTCATCCACATGTTCACTTCAGGTGTACATTGACTTCAACAATCATTTTCTGCTAGCTGGCTGCAAATGAAGGAAATTGTTCCGTCAAATACTTCTCATCCTCCCCCTCCACACACACACACACACTTCTGATTGGGTCCCTTGGACCACAACAGTTAACTGTTACTGAAATTAAATATTGCCCAGTTGCAATGTCAGTGTCAGAATGTAAACATGCATTTTGCATGGCGGTTTCAGCTGGAGGAAAGGGGGCAGAAAACAGTTGTCCAAGCATCACTTCCCACCTCTATCCCCCACCTTTTCTCTCGTCCTGTCTGGGGATTAAGCAGCTGTTGTATCTGTCTGAGGCAGAAACTGTCAACACTGTCAACTTCTCACTCAGCTGTAATGTGATTATAGGTAATCCTTCGCTTATGTCCATTTAACGACAATTTGAAGTTACAACGGCCTCGGAAAAAAGTATGTCCTGTCAAAGCGAGGACTACTTTGTCACATGATTGCGATTTGGGTGCTTGGCAGCCGGTTCTTACTTTGACAGTTGCAGTGTCTTGTAGTCATACTGTATGTTTGTGACATTCACAGTCGACTTCTGACAAGCAAAGCCATTGGGGGAAGCTGGATCTAGTTTTAATGGCCACATGATTTGCTTAATGACCACAGTAAAAATGATTGTAAAATTGGATTCTGCTCATTTAGCGACCACAATTTTGATTTGTCAGGATGTATGGACCCAAACATTATGCTATAAATCCAAGATTCATATGTGAATCAAGCTACTGTAGTTATTTAACAACCATCTTTAATGCAAATCCTGTATGAACTAGTTCAGGGGTAGGCAACCTTGGCTTTTTTATGACTCGTGGACTTCAACTCCCAGAATTCCTGAGCCAGCCATGCTGGCTCAGGAATTCTGGGAATTGAAGTCCACGAGTCATAAAAGAGCCAAGGTTGCCTACCCCTGAACTAGTCCCTGACTGTCAACAGGTCTCTAACTTTTTTAGCAGGTGATTCTGTAGTCCTGTGAAGTGATTAAACCTTGAACTTTCTGTGTGTAAAGTTCTGTAATGGAGCCATGGATCCATCTCCCTTCTCTGCTCATTGTCCCACTTTTTCTCCAATAGGTTACGAAGGGTTGATTCTTCCCTCTCTCTGCAGCAGTGTTTGCAATATGACCTTCTTCATCAGAAACTTAAAGGATTGGAAGAGGAGAACCAGAAACTGCGTACTGAAGTAAGACTCGGCTGCCGTGTGTGTGTGTGTGTGTGTGTGTGTGTGTGTGTGTGTGCGCGCGTGTGTGCGTGTGTATGCTCATCATGCCCAGAGGTTTGCTGTAAGATGAACTGTTTTATTTCTAGTGTAAGTTTTAAAATAGTATTCTCATACATTAAAGAAGCTGACCTGTATGGACTTGATAATAAATTAGGTTTGGTTTCAAATGGCTGGATCCCAGCAACAGCATAAAACTGAATTGCAAAGTTTTTAATAGCTTGGAATCCACAAATACTTTTATTAAAACCAACCAAAGTGTGCAAGTTTTCACATCACTAGAATTCTCTCACTAGATGCAGATTTCTGGAAAATTCAATCTTGCACATTCTAATTATATATACAGTGCCACAAGTCTTCACATTTTCCCCAAACCCAGTACCTGGAACTTCAGTCAAATCTAAGCCAAGTATCTTGTTCTATAATTTGGGGAAATCTTCAAAACGAATTTGCCCTAGCCTCCTATTTATTACAATATCTAATTTTGGAGGGTTTTTATCTTAGGCTCTCAGCAGTACTCTTCAAACACTGTAAGGATATGTGGAATCCCTGATGTTCTCTGAGCATCATTGTTTGCTGGCAGATGTTTTCTTACTCAACTAGGTAACTCCATCAGTTCTTTTCTATTGGAACTATAAGAATATTCTAGTGAACCAGTCTTATGGCAGCATGGGGATGGGTCAATAGAGTCTTTGAGCCATGTGGTCTCTCACTTCTATTTGTTGTTCCTCTTATCTGATTAAAAACCCATGTATTTCTTCTCAGGTTGTTTATGTTTGCCTCTATATAATAATAATAATAATAATAATAATAATAATAATAATAATAATAATAATAATAATAATAGTAGTAGTAGTAGTAGTAGTAGTAGTAGTAATAATGTTGGAAGGGACCTTGGAGGTCATCTAGTCCAACCCCTGTTCATGCAGGAAACTCTATACCATTTCAGACAAATGGCTGTCCAATCCCCTTGTGGTTAAAGATTCTAATTTTCATTTCTTTATATGTCTTTTGTGTTGTTCATTGTTGTACTTTTATCCCTCTACTTTTATATTCCATTCTTACACCTTGTTACAGATTTTTTTATTTACTACATGTTATTTGATATATATTTATACTTATTTCTTAAGTTTTGCATCACTATTTTTGGGCTTTATGACTGTAATAAAGGGATTTGATTGGATTTTATTTTCCCCAAATATTGTACCAATAGTCTCAAATGGTAAATCTCTTTCTTTCCATCTCAGGCTACAAACATTGCCACAGAAACATATGAATATGAAGACCAGGAACAGAAGCTCATGCTTGATTGTGTGGAACAATTTTGTAAGTTTTTTCTGGAGAGAAAGGTTGAGATGGAGGGAAAATAGGAGTAATCTATCAATAGCTTTAAAGTTCTTCATGTTCTCGTATAAAGGATACAATGGAAGATGAAATGAATTATAATTGACTTAATGTTCTGCCTATCTCCTGAGGCTCAGCTTTGTGCTTTGAAGTGAAAGAAAGATTTTATTTATCTTTCAAATGATCCCAATTGATTAATTCTTCTACACATTTCCATCTTGTTTGCATGTGGATGTGCTGCCAGGGGATATTCATTGTGTTAATCCAATGTGCTTGGTAGGAGTTAGGTTGGGGAAAGTTGACACAAACCAGTCCATGAGCAGTTTTGGCTATGCCTGATGTATTTACAGTAAAATTATCTACAGCATATTATCTCCCTACTGATATATATGTGCCAGCACAAATACATATATGCCTTAGTGCAGGGGTGTCAAACTGCCGGCCTGCGGACCGGACGCATCATCCAGAAGCCGCGCCCACCCCATTGCCGGCAATGGCAAAAGCGTCCCGATATGTTGCGCGACATCACGTGACATTGCGAGTTTGACATGTCTGCCTTAGCGGATGATTATATCTAGTCAATCTTGCTGGACTTAGAAACTAAGCGAACCTATTCTATATATCTGTTAATATAATGCCATTGTCTGAATTTAACTGTGGCTACATTGGTGCCAACTTTACATGTTTAGTAAAAGGGTTTCAATGTCAGCATGAATGCCAATTGCCTCCTGTGTATTTGAAGTGTTTTTCCCAGTGTAATAATACATTATAATTACATGCACTTACAGCATAGAATTAACCATTAGACAAGTTAAAATGAGCTTAATCTGTATTCTCCCAACAGTCTGTATGCTTGAAAGGTGACGAAGATAGAGCATAAAATATGGGGCAGAAGAAAATAAATGTCATCCATTGCTGTGCAATGCAAAATGTTGCTATGCAGCTCTGTATTCCAAATAATAATAATCTATCTCCTCTCCTTTAGCTGATACCAGCCAGCAAGTTATCCTGATTTCCGAGGAGCTGGCTCTCAAAACAGAGGATTCAATCCGGCAACAGGAGGAGATTAGTCAGCTTCTAGCACAGATTGTAGAGCAACAGAAGAAGTGCCGTGCGGTAAGCAGAGGAACTGAGCAAATTTGGCCAGCTTTTGTTCTTTATTTCTTTATTTGATTGATTTGATTTATATAATGTCCCATCTTGCATACAAGACTCTGGAGAGTTTATATTGATTATAAATAAAGCTAAAAAGAGAATGTAGTTTAAAAAACATATAAAGCCATATTAACACTATATAACTTAATCAGTAGTGGAGGTATAAAAACAATTGACAACAGTCAACATAGTTAATGTACAGGTTCTGCTGTACACCTAGATCCGGAAACCCAGTGACACAGTTGTTTTGGGATGCAATGCCCTCTAGCGGTGTCCTAAGGGAAGGAGTTGAAACAGTTTATGTCAGTGCTTGGGAATAATCATAAATTTTGGAGTGTTTATATTGTCTGTTATGTGCATATGGTGGTGATGGTTTTTTTGGGTGTATCTTAAATAATTTATTATAGCACCCAAATTACTCACCTGAAAAAAAAACCACATAACCTTAGTGGTATAAACCTGGTGATTGATTTTTTCCCTCCTCTTCCCTTTCTCCTTCAGTATTGTTCTGAAGTGGAGCAATTGCAACAGCAACTCACTGCAGCCAAAGAAATCCAATCTCAGCTTCGCAGAGAGGTAGGTCCCTCAAGCAGCAAAGTGGGGAGAGAGTGGTAGCATGGAAAAGATGGCTAGGAGTGCTGAGCTTTTCATAAATTAACCCAAAGGGCTTTATGGCAATATGTTATGGTTTTCTGTACAAAGAGTGCAGCCTTTAATGGAGGTGTGTGAGTGTGTGTGTGTGTGTGAGAGAGAGAGAGAGAGAGAGAGACAGAGAGTGAGTTACGGTAGTTGATTGAATGATTTTTGGGGGGGCCACATTTTAAAAATAAGCAGTGCCAGGATAAAACAGGTAGCTGGGACAAAACAGAACTATGATTTAAAATTATATTAATATGTAATTTCATCATTTCCCCACTTCTGCCCATACTAGAAGTTATATCTATCTTATTTAAATTGGAAGAAACTTCTGAAGGAAGAAAGCCAGCCTACACAAACGTATATCCAAATGCCAGGAAATATATATACACAAAACAAATTATTCTGGTAGTAATCATTGATAAGATATGCTAAGATGCCTTGATTAGATATCTCGTTTATATAGTCACCTAGTTTTCAACCTGAACAAAAAGGGAAAAAAATAATTGATGTTGACTCCAGTTTAGATAGCAAATATAGCAAAAATGTCAGGAAATAATTGATAACTCAGGTGACATCTGGAAAAGATGACTCAGCTTTAACCGCCCATATTACATCAACTTTAGCAGGCAAGGAGTGCTCCATTCCTACATGATTTTGGCTCACAAAATGGTTTGAAATAGCTCTGAGGGGGAACCCTTTGCTTTTAGTTAGTGTCTCCTCTTATTCATTTGGCTTGGCCCCATTAAATAGGATGTTCCTGACTTTTTTTGTTCTATTCTGTGGTATCCTTTCAGCTCCAGGATTCACAGGAGAAATACACAGAATGTCAAGCAATGTTGCATGAAGCTCAGGAGGATATTAAAGATCTTCGCAACCGCAGTTTGCCCAACAGCACCATCCACCACAGTTCCCCCACCTTCTTACCTCTGGTAAGGATAGATAATGCACATATATATAGGATAAGAGAATATGTGTATACGTATGTGTATTTGTGTGTGTATGTGCATGTAGGTATATAAATGTAGGATATATATGATGCATATATAGTAGGATAGGAGAACACACACACACACACACACACACATACATTTATAAATAAGATATATATGTAATGTAGAGCCAGTTTGTTGTACAGTGTCAGGAAGCAGGGTAGAGACTGTGAATTCTAGTTCTTTCTTAGGCATGGAACCAGCTGGGCAATCTTGAGCCAGTCACTCTCTCTCAACTCTAGGATGGAGGCAATAGTGAGCCACTTCTGAAATTTTGCCAAGAAGAATGCAGGGATTTGTCCTGGAAGCTGCCAAAAGTCAACACTGACTTGAAGGCACAAACAAAACAAACTAAAAATGTTCAGTGTATATATAAATAACAATATATAAACTTGGTTGGATGAAACTCATGATTGGAATGTACTGATAGAAGGATACAAACTATTCAAAAGAAACAGATCTAACAAAAAAGGAGGTGGAATTGCCTTATATATTAGAGATCACTTCCTCTCCACAGAGATGCACAAAACCAAGGATGAAAGCCTGCTAGAATGCACACGGGTCAACATAAAAGGAAAAAAGAACGACATTACCATAGGTATATATTATAGGCCACCCAACCGAGCAAAAGAAATAGATGAACTTTTTGCTAAACAATTAACAAATGTATGTAGGAAATACATTACAGCAGTAATAGGGAATTTTAATTACACAGACATTAATTTGGAGACAAACTCACCAACAAGTGGAAAATCGAACAGGTTCCTGATCAACCTAGCTGACAACTTTGTTATTCAAAAGGTAGAGGAGGCAACTAGAGGGTCAGTCACACTGAACCTTATTTTTACTAAGAGAGAAGAAATGATAGAGGGGATTGAAATTTGGGGAAGAATGACTATGTTATATTAGAATTCAAAATAAAACAGATACAAGCAACAGAACGTAATCAAATCAGAGACTTTAAAAAAATCTGATTTTAACAAACTCAGAGAGAGCTTGGGAAGGATTCTATGGATGAAAATCTTAAAGGGAAAATCAACTCAAGAAGCTTGGGAAACTTTGAAAAATATGGTCATAAAAGTCCAGTCCAGTTCAATACCATTGAAAAAGAAAAACAAGAAATCCAAGAAAAAGCCAGCATGGTTGCATAAAGAACTGTCTGACCAAATGAAAGAAAAAAAATGATAAATACAAAAAATGGAAAGTTCACCATGGGAGTAGATGGCAAGGAAGCAACAGGCAGTAGAGAGAAAGCAGAATTGCTTAATTCATTCTTTGCATCTGTCTTCATGCAAAAAAAAAAAAAAACAATTCAAAAGCCGAACTGTAAAAGACAGGCTAAGAATGCAAATTAAAATAAGCAAAAATAAGGTAAGAGAACACCTGTCAGCTCTAGATGGATTCAAATTACCAGATCCAGACAGATTACATCCCAGAGTTCTGAAAGAACTGGCAGCTGTAATCTCTGAACCATTGAACCAGATCTTTCAAAGTTCTTTGAGATCAGGGAACTACCTGGGGACTGGAAAAGAGCTGATGCAGTTCCCATCTTCAGAAAAGGGGAAAAAAAATCAGATCCAGGAAATTACAGACCAAACTTTCTGACATTAACACCTGGGGAAGATCTTGGAAAAAATAATCAAGCAACAAATTTGCGAACACCTAGAAGCAAATAAAGTTATAACCAGTAGCCAACATGGGTTCGTCAAAAATAGATCATGCCAAACAAATTTTACTTTATTCTTTGACAAAGTGATTAGTGGATCAGCAAATGCTGTGGACATAATATACTTAGATTTTAATAAGACATTTGACAAAGTAGACTACCACTTACGACTTGGTAAGCTAGAAAATTGTGGGATAGCAGCATCACTACCAGATGGATTTGTACCTGGCTGACAAACCGTACTCAACATGTAGGCCTCAGTGGAACTACATGCCTGTGGAGGGAGGTAAGTAGTGGGATATCCCAAGGTTCTGTTTTAGGCCCAGTGTTCTTCAATATCTTCCCAAATGATTAGATGAGGGAATATAAAAGGAACTCATCAAGTTTGCAGATGACATTAAGCTGGCAGAAATAGCCAATTCTCCAGAAGATAGGCTCAAGATCCAAAAGGATCTCAACAGACTTGAACACTGGTGCCTATCTAACAAAATGAAACTCAGTATAGATAAAAGTAAGGTTTTACATTTAGGCAAGAAAAAACAACTGAACCAATGCAGAATAGTTGAAACTTGGTTTAATGCCAGTAACTGTGAGACGGTTCTTGAGAGTCCAAGTGGACAATCACTTAAATATAAGCCAATAGTGTGCAACAGCAGCCAAAAAAGCAAATATAATGCTAGATGCATTAATAGAGGGATAGAATCAAGATCACATGAAGTATTAGTACCGCTTTACAAAGCTTTAATATGACCACACTTGGAATACTGCATCCAATTTGGGTTACGCAGTATATTTAAAAAGTTGAGAGTCTGGAAAGAGTGCAGAGAAGAGCAACAAAGAGGATCAGGGGGCTGGAGGCTAAAACATGTGAAGAATGGTTACAGGAATTGGATATGTCTACTCTAGTGAAAAGAAGGACTAGGTGAGACATGATAGCAGTATTCCAATATTTGATGGACTGTTACAGAGATGAGGGGGTCAAACTATTTTCCAAAGCACCAGAAGGCAAGCCAAGAAACAATGGATGGAAACTAATCAAAGAGAGAAGCAACCTAGAATTAAGGAGAAATTTCTTGATGGTGAGAACAATCAATCAATGGAACGCCTTGCCTTCAGAAATTGTGGGTGCCCCAACACTGGTGTATTTCAAGAAGAGACTGGACAGCTATTTGTCTGAAATGGCATAGAGTCCCTGTTCAAGCAGGGGGTTGGGCTAGATAACCTCCAAGGGGGTTGGGCTAGATAACCTCTAGCCTTTACAGAGCGGGGAACATTGGAGGGGGGAGAGAAAACACATCTAAGTGTGATTGTTTATTTTATCCAAGATTCAATTGCCGGAACTGTTTTGCAATGAACTTTGGAGGCAGGTGTTAGAGAAATAGCATCTCTGAGTAATGACTAAGAGAACAGTCAACAACTCAATTTCCATACCACAGAGTCATGATTTCTTCAATCATGGTTTAATGAATACATATTTATTGATTGGAGACAGAATGCTATGCCATAAATCTTAGTTTGCAGAACTGGATTAACACATGCTAAATTTAAACAAACATATGTCTTTCTAATGAGAGTTTAGGAGAACACTGTTCAGCTCTGTGTTCTCACTTGGGGAGCTGTAATCCAATAGAAACAGAAAAGGAGAAATATATTTAGGAACTTTTTACTGCCAGAAGAATAGCCTGCCCGTGGTTACTTTTTGTTACAGGATTCCCTGGCTGCAGAGATCAAGAGCACAATGAGAAAAGGGATGGACAGCTCTGGGTCATCTGAGTACAAGTGAGTGGAGAGCACAATAGCATTCACAGAGCGGCAAGAGGCCTGAATTAAAAAAAAAAAAAGTTTATAGCTCCAGGGATACCATGGTGATGAAGCAAAAAGTAAGGGATGCTCACTATCAGGAGGTGATATTGTGAAGGAGCTGCTGCAATTCCAAACTTGTGGAATTGAACTTAGACTTCAGATAGGTAGAGTTTAGAATACTTCTTGGCCTTATGGACAGTAAAGGCTATGACTTTATTAAAAACAATACTGGAAAAAATGGCACCTACAAGTATTTCAAGGATGTAACGTTTGAGTCTTTTGACAAAGAGAGTGACCAACCTTCTCTTTGATTTCTGTCACTGATCACAATATTTCCAACTGTTTGCTTATTTTCAGAAGCTTCCGGCGTGTGTTTGAGACAGTGAAGGCTGTGAAGCGAGCAACAAAAGCTAAATCGGGAAGGGCAACCCCTTTGAGTTTTCTTCCACATTCCCCCAAAGCAGCTTCAGTGGCCTGCAGTCACTTTAACAGTCCACGTAACAACCGCTATGGTTCAGATAGCCCCATTATGCTAGAAGAAAAGGGTCACCTGGCTCCTGAAGATCCCAATGACACCCAGTAAGTATTATTAGGATCTGGACTCCTCTGTAGGAATACAGCCTTCCAAATCTTTTTTTTTTTTTATTGAAAAGTTTTAAAAATTTTTTTGCAACATATGTCCCCGCTCCCTCTCACTCCTCCCCTCCCACCCCCACTTCCCAGAGCTGATTACAGGGTACAAATAAACAATAACATAATCTAAATAACATTACCCAACTATACTAGCAATTAAATCCATAACATACTTTAACTCCCTTTCAAAATAAGTATTAACCAATTAACAACAGAAATAATAATAATAATATACCTAATTAACAACCAGAATAATAATATAATTAAACCATAAAATTCAAAATAATAATCAACCCTGTTAAACTACTAATAATAATCTTATAATAATATAATTAAACCATAAAAATTCAAAATAATATACAACCCTATTAAACTACTAATAATGATCTTAAATTCACTCATAAACTAAATAATACTTTTCAATCTCCTAGTTCATCTATATCTATAACATATCAAAATAATATTATAATTAAATCTTAATCAGAAGCTAAATGATACTTTTCAATCACATACTTCTTCTATCTATAACATCTCAAAATAATATTATAATTAGATCATAAAACTAAAAATAATATTCAGCCATATTAAGCTAAATAATACTTTTCATATGTAATCAATCCATCTTCTCCAAACCAAAATATATTTTTCTTATAAATCCTTCACAAAAAGCGGAGATTTTTGCCATTTCTACTAGATTAAACACAACAATGCTCTTACATCTATTATAAAATTCAGCATCAAATTAATTTCTTTAACATCAACTTCATAACACATTACAAGATTAACCCATAAAACTTTAATATCTCTACATGTCCACCAATTATAACTTCTATATTCCATTCACACAAATATTTTCAAATTCCAAATCATCTTTTAGGTCAATATAAAGAAAAAAAACTTTAATTAATTAATTTTGAAGGAACCCTTCTTATTTCTACTTGAATCTAAAACATAATTCCAGTCTTTTGCTATTCTTTTTTCTTTGCTCTATAAACTGCACGAGTCATTCTCTGTTCCTTTAAATCATCTTTTATCTCCAAACACTGTTGCTTAGAATCAACCTGCAAGCTTCCTGCTGCTGATATTCCTTCAGTCAGATGTTCTTCAAACTTTTGTTCAATTCTCTTAAGTCGTGGAGACGATGGTGTACCTACTTTCAAGACCGAAACATAAAAATCTCTTGCTTTCAAAATTGTGTCAAGTCTATGACATGTCCCCGCAAAATTCACCACTAACCCCACAGGTATATCCCATCTATATTGAACCTGACGTTTTTTCAGCTCCTCAGTCAAAAAAGCAAAATCTTTTCTTTTTCTAAGAATTTTAGAAGGTATTTCTTTCAAAATTATAACATCTTGAGATGCGATCTGGAATCTTTGCTTATAAAAAGCCTGTATAATTTCATTACAAAGTGATCTTCTGAAAAAGTAAATAACCACATCTCTTGGTAAATTTCTTTGCTTTGCAATCCGTGAATTGACCCTAAAAATTTTCTCTATCTCTCCCGAGATTTCTTCAGGTCCACAGCCCCAAATAAAAGCTAAATCTGCAGCAATTTCTTCTTTCAAATTTTCTTGCAAATCCTCCTTCAACCCTCTTATTCGCAAAGCATATTCCATCTCTCTGTACTGTATCATAATAATTTCATTCTGTATTATATCAACATTATTTTCAACTTTTCCAACTCTATCTTCAAGTCTTTCCACATTCTCTACTACTTTATCCACACGTTCGTCCAAACGACCTATATGAGCTGCTAACCCCTGGCAAGCCAACAATATGTCCTTCCTCATCTCATTATTCTTCTTCTCAAAAAACTCTGCAGTTTCTTGTCTGACCTGTCTTACTATTTTTTCCAAGGCATCTTGTAAGTCCTTAAGAGTAAGTACCGGTGATAAAGGAGAGGGTGAGGGAGGCTGAGGCTTAAATTGCTGCACCTTCTGTGTTCCCGGAAAGGGTAAACCTTTAAGCAAAGCCGAAGTTCCAAGATGTTTTGAAGCCATTTTCAAACTGTGACCACTTCTATAAAACTTATTAATCTTGTAAAACTAGCATTCCCAAAAAAAGGAAGGAGGGGATAGTAAAAAACAAAAACAAATCCCCCCCCCAAAAGAAGAACTTAGTCTCTAAATAAGCAATCAAATTCCATTACATTGTTTCAACTTAGTTGCCAAGTAAAAGTGAAAGTCTTTCATAACAGGAAACAGCATTCCTCTGCCATTTTCACTTCTTCCTTTAATTTAAATAGTAAATGGAGAAGATACTTTACTTATCTCCTGAGTTAAAGTCCCAAATTCTCACAATTCTGGTTCTCCCGGTCAGCTCTGTCTTCTTTCAATTTAAATCACAAATCTCTTTAAACAGCAGATGTGGAAGCAGCGTCTGGCTTTGTTCCTAAAAAAGGAACAAAGGCATCCTGGGGTGCGGAGAAAACCCAGACTCCGAGGGAGTTCTCACCCCTCATCCTCCCAAAACAAAAGAATGTGGAGGAGACGGGGAACTCTACCTCTATCTGGGAAAACTCACCCCTCCCCCTTCGCCCGGGGAACGAGGCTCCAAGCCGAGAAACAGCTGATGACCACTGTTTCTTCAGGCTTTGACGCATTCCCAGGCGGGTAGCTGGAAAAAAGCCGCCATCGGCACGGCTGTCACCACCGGAAGCTCAGCCTTCCAAATCTTGTAGGAGATATTTCATGGCTGAGTTAGCTCAGTTCTCCATCTGGCAATCTTCAGATTTGTTAGGACTAGTGTTCTGGAAATTATCATCCCCAAATATCCAGAGCATGCTCTTAGGAAGGTTAGATTAAATCTTAAAGGCCAAACCAGCCTTGGATTAGGCCTATTTCCTAGGGGTTTAACAATTTTTTCCATCTTCATTCCTTTCCCATAGTTACTGGTGGGACATGAATATATTCAAACAGTTTATGGGCAGCATATATTGCAGGGAAGGCTGTTTATCTTGATGGATCCCAAACTTTCCAGCCCAACTGTAGTCTGAGGTAGTCCCATTCAAAGAAAAAAATGGAAAGATTTGGACACTGCCTTAAGGGGCATCAAAAGATTAATCAGTATTTTGTCCTGCTGGGCCTTTGATGAAGAAAAAGCTGTCAAATAATTATATTACCATCTCTAGGTCTTGGAAGCTATTGGGGCACAGGCTTTGATATGAAAAAGCCATAAAAATGGGTAGCTAAAGAAATACAAGTCTCTTCATTCCTTCCTCACATCATCTTGTATTTCTCTAACGAAACAAGGAGAGCAACCCTTTATTACCCTATTTTTTTAACTGCTATGTCTACTCTGGCAAAAACGTTCAGCTAGACTCCTTTGGCACTGTTTTTTCTAACTTTGATTTGCAAACTAAAATGGTGTCTTCTTGACACCTAGGATTGTTGGGCACAACCCATCAAACTGCTGATGTACTCAAAAATATCTCCTATCAATCCCAGGGAATTTATTTTCCATTCGTGGTTCCTTCTGCCTCTAGTGAAAAATGTCTTGGTCCAAGTCTTATAAGAGTACAATTGCTAAAAGCCCCGTCTTTGCTCTTACTGAAGTCAAGGCAAGATTTCTTTGTTGATTCTTTCCAGTCTCTTATCACTATGTTTGTCTATCCCATCCAGTTTTAATTATAAGTTTTTTGAGACAGGGTTCTGTTTCTGGGATAGATTTTTATCTTTTCGTTGACTGATTGATTGATCATTGTCAGTCTGTGCTTCTCCAAAAGAAGTTGAATGACAGTTTCCAGAATCCCACATTGTCACTATGCACATTGTCACTATGAGGAGCTATAATTCAGCAACATCTGGAGAACCAGGATTTTCCTCTTTGATAACATGATAATGGTGATGCTTTCACAATCAGATCACCTTCACAACTCTCTTTATTTTAGCCACAGAGTGGATGCTACGTCAGGTACACCTGGCCACCATGTCTTGGAAGCTGCTATCCAGAGTTTGTCTGCTCGCCAGAAGAACCACAGCACTGAGCATTCGTTTTTTGAGATGGAACGTGAATACAAACTGAGGCGCCTGGCTTTGGAGGTGGAGGACTTCAGTGGGTGCCTGACCCCCAATGGTAGCATCACATCTATAGGCACCAACTATTCAGGCAGTTCTGGCACCTCCTTGGGATCCTACTCTTGCTTCCCTGATAAGCTTCAAATTGTTAAGCCTATGGAAGGTTAGTGGAAAGAAGCAGCCCAGGCCTCTTCACTTGGAGAAACAGCTTACTTTGGATTGTTTATTTATTGTTGTCCTTTGGCTTTCCAAGTTCGTTATTTTCTGAGTACCATTTCTGAGTAATACAGGTAGTCCTCAACTTACAACAGTTCATTACAGCGGCACTGAAAAAGGTGACTTATGACCAGTGATGGGATTCAAATATGTGAACAACCGGTTCTCTGTGTGGATGCCGCTTCCAGAAGTCCATTCTGGGCCTGGGCAACAAAAAATTAGCTACCGCTTCTTCCGAAGCGGTGCGAATCGGCTGAATCCCACCACTGCGTATGACCGTTTTTCACACTTATAACCATTGCAACATCCCCATGGTCACATGATCAAAATTCAGATGCTTGGCAATGGACTCATATTTATGACAGTTGCAGTGTCCCGGGGTTACGTGATCCCCTTTTGCGACCTTCTGACAAACAAAGTTAGTGCAAAAGCCAGATTTATTTAACAATCGTGTTACTAACTTAACAACTGTTGCGATTCACTTAACAACTATGGCAAGAAAAGTTGTAAAGCGGAGCAAAACTCAACAAATGTTTTACTTTACAATAGAAATTTTGGGCTTAATTATGGTCGTAAGTCAAGGACTACCTATACTACAGTTCTGAAAGTAACCTTATGAAATTCCAAAAGGGAATTAAAAACCTGGAAAGGTGAATTCCTGGCAGTTCCAAGCTCTAGATGGGGGGGGGGAAATGTTAGACATTGCCTCCCATTTTAACCTGGACAAAAATACAGGCTTTGGGGGAAGGGTTTTTTCTTGTTTATTTTAAGCTATGTAAAATTCCTGGTAAGACTTATAGGTACTTCATGTAACAGTGATAGGAGTACTTACCATGTAACCTAATGATTGGAACAGATTTTCCACTTACTGTGGGTTGAGCTCAAGAAAGGATTCAAGGAAGGAGCTAAGATACTGAGAAGGCAGTATTCAAGGCAAGGATGAGGATGGAGCAGAAATGGGAAGGGAAGGAATCTAGGATTCTTCCTAGCCATCCTGATTTAAAAGGAGAAGTGAGATGTGCTAGAAAGGAGAAAGCTTTAAGAAAGGCCAACAAACTCTGAAATGTGAAATTTTTGCAAAGAAAGACCCAACATTAAAACATTGTTGGTTAGTAGCAGAAAAGGAAGGAAACAAACAGACAATACCCAGATTCCAAGAAAAATCAGGGCTGCTGTTTTGAATTAGTTTTCATCCATATACAGAGAAACAATTGAACAAATAGTAGTTCCTTGGGAATATTGCAAACTATATTGGAACTAGTCACGAAGATCCACAGTCTGGACATATGGGTAGAGATAGGATCACATACAGAACTTTGGATTTTATTGGCCAGGGATTTGTAAAGATGTGGCTCATTATTGCCCTGTTCCAATGGAGAAAATGCATTTAATCCCCATTCTTTTTTCTAAAATAGCCCTGAACATTATAGTCCTTCTGTCATGATCTAGTAAATGCAGTGAATATATCCTAGTTGTCTGTGATTAAGCAACTCAGTACCCAGAAGCAGTTCCACTGAGGAATGTGTCAGCTAAACGAATAGCTAAGGAACTGGTGATCAAAATGTTTAGTAGGATAAGCACACCATATGAGATCCTCACAGATCAAAGATCTAATTTCTAAAAATCAGCACTGCGTAAGTATCTTTGTGCAGATTTAAGAATAAAAAGGGTGTGTGCAAATCCCTATCATCCACAGGCAGATTATTTTAGTAAAAGGATGAATCAGATCCTGAAAATTATACTTAAGAAATATGCAAGCTAAGACCCAATATTTTTGGTTACATCTTTTCTATTGTTTGCATTCAGGAAAATTCCTCAGGCATCCATGGAATTTTAGCCCCCTCCTCCATTTCATGGGAAACAACTTTGAGGGTTTTAGACATTATTAAGAAATGCTGGTGTAACAATATAGAAGACTCCAAATATATATTATAACTCAGAGGAATAAGTTAAAAGCCTTAGGGCACATTGCCACGAATATTTAGAGATAGGCAGAGAAAAACAAAAGAGAGTCTGTAATAAAGGTTTAAAGGCAAAACAATTTACTGTAAGGAAAGCAAGTATTTGTTGCTATCGCCTAGTAAAGAAAGCAAATTACAGGCTAAAAGGCAAAGTCCCTACATAGTAAAGAGAAGAATTGAGTCAGTGAATTATGAAATTGAACTGGAAGATAGAAAAAAGAAAATCTACCATACTAACCTTCTGAGGAAATGACACAATGGATCTGAACCTGGGATGTTTTTCCTTACACTGAAAGAAAGCCATCCAGAATTGCTGGAACAAGTGATACTGCAGACATCCCTTGGAAAGATACATATTAATTCTGACCTAGGACACAGTCAAAAGATAGATTTAGAAAAATTGTTATGGGACTGTAAACATACAGTATGTTCACCATACAACCAGGTTTAACTGCTTTAGTAGAGCACAGAATAGAAATGGGTTAAATCCAACCAATTAGACAGTGTTTCTATAGGATTCCTGAAGAGTTGAAGTAGACAGATGCCTCAGATGACATTGTAGAACTATCTATAAGTCACTGGTATTCTTCAATCGATTTAGTCTCAAAACCAAATGGAGAAATATGATTTTGTGCAGACTTCCTACAAATAAATGAAGGGGCAAAATATGATGGGTGTCTAATGTCCAGAGTGGATTATCTCTTGGATGACCTATTGGAGCCAAGTATTTATCATCCTTGGATTTAACCAAAGAATATTGGGAAATTCCACTGGAACACTACTCCAAAGAGACAATGTCATCTTTCAATTCAAAAGAATGCATTTTGATCTACAAGAGGCATCTGCTCCCTTCCAGAGTTTAATGAACAAGATTTTACAAGGTCAAGGAGAATGGTGTGCTACCTATCTAGATACAGTATATCCTGATCTATAGCAAGACCTGGCAAGAACACCTCCAACACTTAATAATTGACATTCTAACTATAAACCCAGAGAAGTGCCATTTGGGATATCAATAATTGGAGTTCATGGTTGGAAGGGGGGAGATAAAATCTGAATAGGGAAAGGTTGGAATTCTGAAACAGGTGGAAGCCCCCAAAACAAAGATGTGCATTTTTTTTTTAGGACCAATGAGGTATTATCAAAGTTCATACCTCATTTTTCTACTGTGACTCATTCTGCAGCTGAGAATGGAGCTCGGCCTGCACTTCACAGTGAAAGGCCTTTCCTGAAGGCCACTGCAGCTGGGAACCAATCTATGGGTTGAATCTATAGCTTGGTTCTCGGCTGCAGTGGCCTTCCGGAAAGACCTCTGACTGCGAAATGCAGGCCTGGGGATGCCGCAGAAGAAGTGGACTGGTGAGGAGAGGCCTGGCTGCAAGGTAAGTGGGTGCAGGTGCGTGGGGCAGCTCCACACCCTGCCCTAGCTTGACTTTTAGTTGTCTGCCTCACCCCAAAACTAGGGCTTATTTTGGGGATAGGGCTTATGTTAGGCCCATCCCCAAAAATCAAGCTAGGGCTTATTTTTGGGGTAAGTCTTACTTTTGGGGAAACATGGTATTAACAACTTAACAATTCTGTGATTTACTTAACAACTGTGGCAAGAAAGGACATGGGACAAAACTCATTTAATATCTGTCTTTGTTAGCAACAGAATTTGGGCTCATTTGTGGTTGCAATTAGACAATTACCTGTACACTCTAAAATGGGCAATCAATGTTCTTTGTGTGAATCTCTGGGGTTGGGAATTCACTGTAATAACTGATTATAACCGCTCATCTTCCTGCAACAAATGAAAGATACCAATTCATGGTTAACTAGATGATAGTTACCTTGAAGGGTGTCAAGGACCACGGTATCATGCTGCGACGGTTGGGTGGGTTGGGAATGGGGGGCACCGTGATGCGGTGGTTCTCTTCCTTCCTCACCGACCGTACGCAGTCTGTATTGGCAGGGGGACAGAGGTCGACCCCAAGACCCCTAACTTGTGGGGTCCCACAGGGGTCGGTCCTCTCTCCACTTCTGTTCAATATTTATGTGAAGCCG